TCCCTTGGGGCGATCTCCTTTCTCCCACGAAAACTGCCGTCTCCGGCAGGGACAAGCCCAACCTTGTAGAGCCACCTTGGGTTTTCCTAAGGCCGGTCGTTCTCCCGGGTGTAGAGGGATGAGGGATGATGTTGGCTCTCCGTGTCCCCAGGAAGGGTCCCTGCTGAAGGAGCCGCCACTGTGTGTGTGCACTGCTTTTGCTACCTGTCCTCTCTGTCCGCAGGGGTTCAGGCCCAATTACAGCTGGTGGAGGCTGGTGAAAGGGTGAAAGCGCCTGGGGAATCCATTCGCCTCTCCTGCCACGGATATGGATTCAGCTTCAGTGTTTATGATTTACATTGGTACCGTGATGTCCCTGGTGATGGACTCAAGTGGGTGGCCACCATTAGCGGTGATTCTGCCTACATTTATTATGGTTCGGCAGTGGAGAATCGAACCACTGTCACCCGCAACAATTCACAGGCTGTGATGTTTCTGTCCCTGCATGACCTGCGCCCCCAGGACTCTGCCCGCTATTTCTGTGCCATTGTCACAGTGGCAGGAAACGTGTTTGCACCGTGACACAAACCAGCTGACAGTGGCCCTGGGCCGGTGTGTGGTAACAGGAGGGGAGGGTAGAGCCAGACAGGTCTGGGGCCACCACTGCTCCGCACGGGGCAATATCACAGGAGCGGCACATGGGACCTTTCCCAACGATTCCTTTCCTGATTAAAGATAAAGCTAGGAAGAGACCTTGAGCTTTGTATAAAATGTTCCATCTCCAACTTGGCATGCCAGGCATTCCACCTGCATGGAGCTGTTAGCAGGTGCAGAGTTTGGTAGTGAAGATTTCCCTTCTCTTTGATCTCTGCCCTGTGTATACAGTCAGTCAGGACAGTTAGATAGGACCTCTACCATGGAAGGAAATGTCTATACGTTGTTTTCTGCTGCTACTCAGGAAACCTCAGTCTCATCTCTGCTTCATACCTGCTTCCCCTGCAGCTGTAGACTCCAGCTATACCTGTGTCTGCAGCTGGCAAACTCCTGTCAAAGACCTGTGACACCTAGTGCAACAGCATCCTATCATGGGACTTTGCTACAACCTTCCAGGGCCAAGTTGGCAGCTCTCCTGGGATTTACTCTCTGCATCACCTGTTGACACAGTTGTACCTTCAGCTTCACCTCCAAGGAGTATTAGGTGCTTAGGTATAAGAATGCCCCTGTTATCCAGCCTCCAGTGTGTCACTCACAGCAGCTACAAATAATCCTGCATTGAATATGTGGCAGTGCTGGAGGCTTGAGCCTCACTCTCAATCCATGGGCTGAGGCGTCTGGACACTGCCCTGCACCCCCTGCATCCCTGGGCCTCTTCCTCATTCGTACAGGGACAGGAACCCAAGGGAGAAGAGCTGCGGCCTTGGGGGCGCCGCGTTCGCTGCGGGTCCAGGA